AATACAAGAAATTCAGCGATGTCCGCAGATATTATCAGAAGATTTGGCAGTCGTGAGTAACGAAAATTGTTGTGCTTCGAGCGTTGTAACTAGCCGAGCACACTCTCCGACTGATTTTGAACTAGAAGATCGCCCCCGCTCGGAATTTACAACTTCGGGTGTGAAGGCAATGAAATGCGAAGTTACGAATCGAGGTACAAACTACGCTTTAAGAGAAGATACTCGTACGCAGCAATGGAAAAGCTGTGATGAAAATAAGCGCAACAAGACGTCCGTCAAAAATAAATCGTCATGTATTAACATTCAAAAAAGTATGGCGCTTGTGAAAACTCCGCACAAGCGATTAACGGACGGAAGAAGTGAACGCCTCTTAATAAGAAACAAAAATGGTGTTATGTTGAATTCGTCCGATGAATATATTACAAGCTATAATAGCAGGAAGGAAGTTAACAGAAAATGGACGAAGCAAATGAAAACAGCATTCGATAGGAAGGATGATAAAATATCGTCTCTACCAAGGAGATCGTCGCATGACTCCCAGCATTCATCTCGTTGGAAATGGAATTGGCGAATGAAACAAAGACTGGGTACACCACCGGAAAACAAGTGTATCTCAGGTTCAATACAAGTCATAAGCCGCCGTGTACAAGGCGATGTGAAAAGGGCCAACGAGAACATACCGAGAAAATTGTCTTGCTGGAATAACATACCAAAATGCAAGCGAATGCGACGTTTAATGAGCGATATAGGCTACTTCGACCATTCAACGCAATACGCTACTCTGTTACAAAATAGCGTACATTAACACTGGACGTAGAAGAGTCATAGACGTCGACACAAAAGGCGGTGTACTACGAAATACGAGTTTAAAGAATTAGTAATGGTGCCTACAGCGTCGCCAAATTAAGGGTGGTGCTACGCACGAGGGGGAGATTGTTGGCGACGAATATGTTTATTTTGAATTAAAATAATCAAGACGTCGAATATACATTTAACATCAAAATTTTAATTGGCTTTTTAAAGGAACGGGCATCAAAAGGATTTTTTTGTAGTAAAGCAATA